GTGGTGTTGATGTATCACCTTTTTTAGAGCAATGGCATCCATGTGAAACATCGCCCAAATGAACCAATGAAAAAAAAAAGGAAAAAGAAAAAAGTGCAAACTTGAATGGTTGGTACAATCAAGTGTACGAGTGGCGTAAAATTAAAAAAAGAAAAGATTGGAGAGTAGGCATCAAATGCGAACAGAAAAAGAATGTGAATATTTGCAATGGTTTAGCAGTTATGGGTTTAGGTTGAATTCATAAGCATAAAGTTGATTCCAAGTGTGAGGTATTGTAATCTTGATATTGGCAAACAGATTTGATAAATTTAGGATCAAAAAGTAAGAGACAGGAAGTCAATGATAAAAATTTGGGGCGACTGTTTAGCCATGGAGACGAGATTGCAGTTCATTCACTTGTCCGTGTAATCCATTCAATATATCTATATATATATATTCTTTACCAAAATATGGAAGAAAAGAAAACCTTTAATTAAAACTAAGGGAGTGTTTCATTAATTTGCTTTCTAAATTGCCACACATTATTATCATTCATGTCTTATCCCAATTATATGGGTTGTTTATATAAATTTAATTTTGTCAATCTGTTCTATTTAAAATTATATTTGGGTAAATTTCTTAAATTATTCTTATGATTTAGCTAATTGTCTAAGTGTACCCTTATTGTTTGAAAATTGAGTAAGACTATCCCTAATGTTTCTGCCAATTGATTAATACTTTTCTTACCGTTAGCATCCATTATTATTCCGCCAAAACCCGTATCCACATAGTATTTAAAATTCTTTTAAAACCCAATATTACCCCTCCCCTCGTCCTTGATTCCCATGGAGCTATAGAAATTAGCCGTAGAGAACACTTGGAGACAGAACTATTTTCTGCAATCTATAAGTTCCTGGAGAACTTAGAAACATCTCCCTTGTAAACAAAACTCGTAGGCCTCAAGATCTGGAAATGAAAATTGTAGTGCACGAGTGGTGCAGCCTTGGAAACATAACTATTTTCTGCGAAATCTGGCCACTCTGAAACACCCGCTTTCCTTCAATTCATAGAAGGCCTCCTTCTCAATTTGACGCTTTCCTTCAATTCATAGAAGGCCTCCTTCTCAATTTGACGCTTTCCTTCAATCTATCTCTGAAACACCTGCACTACAATTTCCATTTTCTGCTAAACCCCTGTTCAGCCACCCACGATCATGAACTCTTTCTCAGTTTCTTGCTGCAGAAAGGGGGCTAAGCGTACACACGGATCTCCCTTATAAACAAAACCCGCAATGTAGGCCTCGAGATCTGGAAATTAGGAAATGAAAATTGTAGTGCACGAGCTGTGCAGCACCGGAAACAGAAATATTTTCTACAAAATCTGGCTACCTATCTCTGAAACACTACTTTCCTTCAATCCAATAGAAGACCTCCTTCTCAGTTTGCCGCTTTCCTTCAATCCTATCTCTGAAACACCCGCACTACGATTTCCATTTTCTGCTAAACCCCTGTTTAGCAACCCACGATCATGAACTCTTTCTCGGTTTGCCGCTGTTGCAAGGGGGCTAAGCGTACACACAGATCTCCCTTATAAACAAAACCCGCAATGTAGGCCTCGAAATCTGGAAATGGAAATTGTAGTGCACGAGCGGTGCGGCCCTGGAAACAAAATTATTTTCTACAAACACCTGCTTTCCTTCGATTCATAGAAGGAAACAACAGGGGTAGCATTAACGGTAAGGGAAGTATTAGTCAATTGTCAGAAACAACAAGGGTAGCATTAGTCAATTTTCAAACAGTAAGGATATACTTAGTCAATTAGATAAACCATAAGGGAAGTTAATTTACCCAATTATTAATGCTTAAATCTTGCCTTACTACTTTTACCCATGTCTTTTTAGGGTCCATTTGGTTCATAGTTGGAATTGGAATCAAAATCCTCTAGAATCAGAATTGGAATGGTCAATTCCTATAATCTATTTAGTTCATACAGGAATGAGAATGGGAATTAAAATCAGCAATAATGGGATTTCATTCCCAAGGGAGGGGCAGAGAATGGCCATTCCCTCAAATGGGGGAATACCATTCCGGCAATAATGGGAATGGGATTCCAATTCCATCCAACCAAACATTTGGAATCAAAATAGTCCATTCCAATTCCGATTCCAGACCCCTATTCCCACGAACCAAATGGGGCCTTAGTCTACTTTTTCTCATTTTATCACATATTGGAGCTATCCTTAGGTTCTTAAGATTAAATTCATTTATAATTCTTTCATTTCTAGTTTTGCCACATTAAAAAATAAAAACATGTTTTTGAATTATGCTTTTTGTTTTGAAAATTAAAAATAAGTTGATAAAAACAAAATGTTTTATAAACTATCAAGTCATGTTTTCTAAAACAAAATTCAGACATTGCAGTATAGAAATCATTAGTTTTTTTAACATGTTTTCAAACCAAGAATTCAATAACACATTATTTTGTTTCAGTTTTGGAAACAAAAAAGCACATATATAACCAAAAACATGTTTTCTGTGTTTTTGTTCTAAACCAATTTGTTTTCAAACCAATTGGTTTTATTTTGTTTGATCTTTTGGCAACAAGAACAATTAACATTGAAGACAACCCTTGAAATATCCATCTATTTGGCAGGTTTGTATATGGGTAACAACCCATTTGGATCTAGTTTAAGGGGGTGTTTTAGAACATGAATGTTTTTGTTTTTATTTGTTTTCAAAAGGGAAACTTCCCAATTAGTACCTTATACTTTGGGCCTAGTGCCACTTTGGTCCCTAAATTTAAAATGCAACAATTTAGCACTTGAACTTTCAAAATGTATCAATTTAGTACCTGTTGTTAACTAGCCATTAAGTGACATTTGAAAAGACAGAAATGCCCTTCAAGTGTCATTTAATTTTCTTTATCAACCGTCCAAACGTTGACAAAAAATGATCTGTTCCAAATCCTTGCCTCTTCTATTCAAAAAAATTGGGGTTAGTTCATTTTTTTTTTGTTAACGTTTGGATTGTTGATAAAGAAAATTAGATGACACTCGAAGGGCATTTGTATATTTTCAAATACCATTTAATGACTAATTAACGATAGGTACTAAATTGATACATTTTGAAAGTTTGAGTACCGAATTATCGTGTTTTAAAGTTTGGGGACCAAAGTGGCATTAGGCTCAATGTATAGGGTACTAATTGGGAATTTTCCCTATTCAAAACCACAAGATCAGGAAAATAAAAGAAAAACAAAACAAAAATATGTTCTTTAACTCTGTTTGCTTTCAAAGGAAAAAAATAATACATGTTTTGGGAATAATCAAAATCATGGTTTTTAAAACAAAGCAAATTTTGTTGTGAAGAAATTATATGATTTTTATGGATCATGATATTAAATAACTAGATAAAAGCACATTTTTTACACCATAAATTTGAGAACATGTTTTTTGATTTCAACTTTGAAATGGAAAAATTAGAGGTGTAAATCGGGCTTATATGTAGGTCGTGCCATGACGGCTTGCGAGCTGAGTTGGGTCGTGCTTCCCTCCCCTAGGATACTTTGGGGGGTTGGCCTGGCATGGCCCATGGCCCAAGCCCATGCAGGCCCATGTCATTCCACGAGTTGAGCCTTGGGACAAGGCGAACCACAAATTGGGCCAAGCCATTTTTTTTATTTTGAAAAAGCAATGAAAATTTTAACATAAATTTTGTTGTGCTTGAATGGGCCATGGACCTTAAACCCTAGGCCCAACATGGCCTATTCAATCGTATCGTGCTTGGCACGGCCCGTAATTCGTCGTGTCGGGTCGCGGGCGGCACAACCCAATTTACACCTCTAGAAAAAATACATTCACATGTTCACACACACACACACATGTAGAGAGAGTAATTATATGTAAGTTATTATTAATAATTTAATATTCTACATTTAAATAAATTCACTATATATGTTGTTAAAAATAGTTTTTTAATCTTTAGATACAATTATTAAGGGGTCTGACAATCAAAAGATAATGTGAGCTTTTGCATCAAGATCTTAGCAGCTTGGTGATCATTTGGTTAAGGCATGTCTTTCAGTGCGAAGACGAGTTGAAAAAAAAAAGGTGAAAAACTCCATTTGGAGCTTCTCACGTCTTTTTGGGATCGCAACTTTCGATGGCTAGATCTTTTCCCAACCAAATAGGAAAAGACTAAAACATGGGCTACCAGATTTCTATAAAACTGATAGGTTGCACAAAAAAGACACACCAAGCAGAGCCTAAGTTAAGATATATGAAAAAATAAAAAAAATCAACACTTAAAAAATTACAATTTTTATATCTAAGGCTGCTTTTTATTTAAAAAAATGTAGGAAAAGAGAAAGATACCTTAACAAACCTTGTATAGCAGTAGAAGTTAAGATATATTTTCATTTTTTTTCTTTACTTGCACACCTACATTCCCTGATTCCTTTATTTCAATGCATATATTTTAATCATTATTAGTTTAATTCATTAATGGTATTTAATATCCAATTGCAATCCGGCGTGTGATTATACTATACAAATCTAACGGATTTTATCCAAATTCGAATTTAATGAATCAAATTCTGATCTATCCGTTTGCAGCCCTAAGTGGACCCATTTAACATCACAACGGCCACCCAAAGGATTGGAAAATCTGTATTAGGCTTTTCCAGAAGCACATATCAGCTGGTTGCTTGAATCCAGTGTTGTATGATTGGACCGGAACCGGACATAAAAACCTGGACTTCTACAATCGGGTCAACCGTCCGGTTTGGTCTGAGTTTTACAACACTGCTTGCATTCATGAAAGCAACTGTTTCCTAAACACTCTACAGACCGTCCATTGTGTTGACTATCGGTTTAGAAACGGTTGTAGATCAGCAGAAGACTCCCGCTGAGCAGGAACAGTTGTACATCGTAATTTATCTAATTTTCTTAAATTTTAAATAATTTTTTCTGTTTGTCTTTATTCGCGTGAATATTAAATAAGTTCAGTGCAATGAGTGCAAATGAGATGGAAAGTAGGAAATATTTGGTGCCAGTGCCAGTGGCAATGCGAGTAACTGATGATGACGAGGAAGAGCAGAGTGAAGAGTCATTTGCTCAACCTTCGATTTTTCCTTTTTCGTAGATTCCCATTAACGAAGGCCGTTTTCCGTTTTCTTTTCCTTATTTCCGCCTTTTCTGCTCTATTCTATCTCCTATGTAAGACCTCGATCCCTTCCTGGCTCATCCTCACTGAAATCGTTCTCCAGCATCCCGTACTTCGTTCCCGCCGTCGTTTGTATTCAACGATGGTGGCCGGTTCCAGGCCAAGGACCGAGATTTCGCTTGCTGGGACCTTCGCTAGCAGCGCTTTCGCCGCTTGTTTTGCCGAGGTACATATGATCTCTGACTTGAGTTGCTTCAGTTTACAAGACCAATTCACCATTTGTGTTTGGTCTGATCACGTTAGTTTACATTTTTTTATATGTATTTTTACGAAATTTTTATGCTTTTACATTTTCCAGCAACCAAAATGCATTTTTGGGCGGTTGTTAGAAGTTTTGATTCTTAATTTTATGTGACTTCTTATTTGATCAATTCTTTATGCATTTTTTAAGGTCAACGATTCTTTATATGTATTTTAATGGTTCAATTTTTATGTCCATGAGCTCACTTAAAGTATCTTGGTGGTGGGATCATGTAAACTTCTTCCTCAACATTCCAATTCAAAAAGGCATTATTGACACTGGACTGGTATAATGGTCAAGAGAAACGAGCAGCGAGAGATATTGACACTCAGATTAAATTCGTTTTTGCTGCCAATGCAAAAGTCTCTTTGTACTCCACTCCATACATCTAGGCATAGTAAACCATCCATTTTATGCTTCATGGTACCCTTCCACTCAGGATTAGACATGGCTTCTGCCATATTTTTAGAGACAGAAATAGATGAAAACAAAACACTATATGAAGGACATATGCAATTGTAAAAAAGAAAATTTGAAATGAAACGAGAAGCACACCACATTTTTCTTTTCACAGATTCTGATGGTTGTGGTAGATCAGCAATAGGAGCCACTATAGGTCTTCTCCAACGCACTTGCAATTCTTTGCATGACATGTCTGTAATACTAGGAAATGAGAGATGGCATCATCCGTCATAGGAATTGGCAATGTAAAGAACTGCTTTTCTCCAATACTCTTAATTCTCCCTCTGAAGAGAAGCGCCTAGGGAAGAGAAAGGGGTGGATTTAAAGAAAGTGACATCTACGGTGATATAAAATTTTCCAATAGCAGGATGGAAGCAATGATATAACACTAGATGCCAGATATGAAGAAGAAACAAATCCCCCAAAATTTAGTTCTAGTAGACTTTAGAAAAATGTGAAATAAGTAAATATCAAGTGAAGTGTGAAACAAGATGTACAAATCCCTTATCAACAAGTCAATGGTGTTAGAGAATTACTGAGCCCCCCTCCCAAAAAAAAAAAAAGGTGTTAGAGCCAAGAACTATTGAGCAGTCAACCCATTCATTAATATTACTGAAAGACATAGACACTAAATGACTGAAAAACTCCTTTGGAAAGAATCTCAATTTAGCCCCTTTAGCTCAACTTGCACCTCATTTTAGTTTGAATCAAAGACTTGGAAGATAGGGCTTTAATTCAGTTGTATATCTAAATGGTGCAATTTCTTTATAAGAAGCAATGAGCTAAATTCACACTGGCTTACTTCAGACATTTATAATGAGTTCCTGAATGGAATGAAACTTCTATATATTACAATTTGACAATTATAAAAAAAAATCAAATTCTGTGTTATATGGTGTATGGATTCCATGCAGCTTTGTACTATTCCTTTGGACACTGCTAAAGTTAGGCTGCAGATCCAAAAAAAGGCAGCTTCTGGAGCTGGAGTGGTTTCACCTAAATACAGGGGCATGTTGGGTACCGTTGCTACCATTGCTAGGGAAGAAGGTGCAGCAGCACTCTGGAAAGGCATTATACCAGGATTACATCGCCAGTGCCTGTATGGAGGTTTAAGAATTGGATTATATGAACCGGCAAGTTTTGAATTTATTCTGTCCCACCGACTTTAAATTGTGTTTTTGTGCATATGTGTGATTTGCATGGTGAGTATTTGATATTTTATGTATAATTACATGTTGCACAGGTCAAGACCTTCTATGTTGGTAATGATTTTGTTGGGGATGTACCTTTATCCAAGAAAATCCTTGCTGCACTTACGACTGGTGAGTACGTCTAGTGACTTTAACCCTTCTCTCTTTAAGAAATGCATCATATCAACTTCTTTTTGTTCATTTATGCTCCCCTTGTATTTATCTTATAATCTGCATTAACTTCTCATATTGCTTTAATTTACTATTCAATTTGTCTTTCAATATGCTGAACACAGTACATGTAAATCATATAGGTGCTCTAGCTATTACAGTGGCTAATCCAACTGATCTTGTTAAAGTTCGACTCCAAGCGGAAGGAAAGTTGTCACCCGGGGTGCCAAGGCGTTATTTTGGGGCATTGAATGCTTATTCGACAATAATCAGACAAGTTATGTTTATAAAAAGAAAAATGCTTTGGTGTTTGTTCATTCGATTTGTTTCTTCAACTTTACTAACTATTTTCTGATGTTTAGGAAGGACTAGGGGCTCTTTGGACTGGGCTTGGGCCTAATATAGCACGAAATGCTATCATAAATGCTGCTGAACTGGCCAGCTACGACCAAGTGAAACAGGTGAAATCAGAACATGAATTTTAAGGGTGCAACTTGTGTCAGGTTAGGTTGGGAATTTGTTAAGTTTTCATTGGGCTGAGCCCTCCTGATGTAGTTTAAATTCTTCAAATCGGGCAACCTGACTTGCAGCCCTAATGAATTTGATTGGTAGTCCTTTTCTTTCCTATGATGTTTTGAGTTCATTTCTGATTTTTTTACCCCAATGCAGACAATTTTGAACATTCCAGGATTCACAGATAATGTTTTTACTCATCTTCTAGCCGGTTTGGGGGCCGGATTTTTTGCAGTGTGCATTGGTTCTCCAGTTGATGTGGTAAGCTTTCTTTGTCAGTTTTCTATAACTTGAAACTGATTGGTTTATTATCTTGTGATATGATTTTTTCTATAAATATTTTATTAGATGCATTTGTGGTTTGCCAGCAATGAAAATATTTTTATTCTCTGGTTGAGATCATGTAGATAATGTAGTACTTTTCCCCTTAAAATGCAAATTCCTTTTTCCTTTAATTCCTTCTGGTTCCAGTTTAGTAAACTTATGAGTAGGAAATGCTTGGTTATCTGACCCTCCTCTTCTTTTACAGATCCCATATATTACCCATAAAGGTCATTCATTACCCATTGTTGGTTCCAGTCATCTGGGGCCTTCAGAGGGGTGGATTGGATATGGACCTAACCTTTGGTACTGAACCTGTGTTCTCATACGTGTCAGCCTGAATTTTACCATTACACCAAGCAATGGCCCCTTAAATGTGGAATGTGAACTCTTAACTCATAAGATATGCCAAATACTCACTACTTGTCCTACCATAATTAGATAAACCTGAAGCAACTGCATGATAGACTTGGAAATTAGAAATACTAAATTCTCATCGTCAACTACATCAATAAAATGGTCCTAAATCTTCCTTAAAAAATGTCCTAACTCTTTCAAGAAACATTGGATTCACAGGGTCTTGGTTTTTTGGATAGATGTTTCTAACGACACTAAAATCAAATCAAATGGACAAGTTTGACTTTTATAAACTGCAAGAAAAATGAAGGACCTTCAACTGCAAATTCTCTAAATTCTGAAGATTAACATGGAACAATTTTCCTGTTAGTACTACTAAAGTTTCAATCAAGTTATTAAAACATAGTTTTGCATATAGGTGAGCTACATATGAAAATTGGACCTTGGTTACAATGACCAGAGATATATATGCCAATGACTAAAATAGTTTGTTCTTTAGCTATCAAGATATCTTCTACTAAGTATAATCTGAATTCTAATTCATTCTGGGTTATGTGGAGACAATGCCAGTGAAAATTTGTAAAATGCTTCTGGCTTCCATGGTCTAAGGAATGACTCTTCTTATGGAGAGGGTTATTCACTTGCATATTCTTAATTGCGATGAAGTTGGTTTAACATAAGATGTCTCCATTTTACTTTGACAATGCAGTAAATGATTTGGTTGCTTGTTTGTTTTTCAACTGGTTAAACATCCTTGCCAATTTATTCATTTTGTTAATAAAACATTAAGTCATATATGTATATTATTTTACATCTAGAAAGGACAATATTTATATTGTATTGTTATGTTGTAGGTGAAGTCAAGAATGATGGGAGATTCAACCTACAAAAGCACACTTGATTGTTTCATCAAGACATTGAAAAATGATGTAGGTTCAATTTTCCTTTCATATTCCCTTTTTCATCTAGTTGAATTAGTTACCTTATATTGCCATAGTTGTACTTGAAAACTACACCTAGTCAAGGTTTAAAATGTCGATGTCGATGGAAATGTCGATTACCAGAATATAGGACATATGTTGGAAATGTCAAGGGGAAATATTGTAAAAATTAGAGACATTGTGGAAATATTATGAAATATGTGGAAATATGCAATGATATTTTGTAAAATGATAAAAGAAGCATTAATACATATTTCTAGACTATTATCTTATTCCCAACCATTATATAAAGCTAAGAAACTAATATCAATAACAAATTAGTAAATGACAATTTACTGATTTATTATGCATTTTGATGTTTTTACAAGGTTATCAGATATTTTCTTTTCTTATTTTTAATTATGATTTATTATAAATTCTAATATATTTATTTCACACTAGTAAATGGAAATACATTTATTCTGATTTTTTAAATATTAATGTTATAATATATTATGTTTTATTATAAATTTAATAAACTGATTCTCCTTTTTGTAGTACTAAATTTATAATAAATTATGATTTAGTATAAAATTTAATAAATTTATTCTGATTTTTTATATTAAATGTAGAATATGATTTATTATAAAATTTAATAAACATTTCTGATTTTAATAAATATTTTAAAATACTAACTAGTTAATATTTTATTACTTGAAAATATTTTATGTTTTATATTATAAAGTAATTAACTTATTCTTTTGTTTTTATATTTTGTTAATTCTTTTTTATAGACATTTTATTTGAAATATTAAATAGAAATTATTAATGGAATAATTTATATTAATATAATATACTAATATATTATATTATTGATGTACATTAGTCGACATCCTGTCAACATAATAGGAAAAACTGTCTTTTTTTTTGTTATTTGGACCGATTTGGTTGACATTTCTGAAATATAGGAAATGTCGACCGAAATAATGTAATTTTTATATTACCATCCATTTTCATGTCGGTGAATCTCGACATTGACAGATGTCGGGCGCATTAGCGAAATGTCGTGACATTTGAAACCATGCATCTAGTAGTTATACAGCTCAGCTGCCAAGATCAGAAGCATGATTTCTTGGATTTGTGCCATCTGTTTAAATAATAGGAAATTGCATGCACCTGTTATTGCAAGGTATGATAAAGTGCTTCACCTGCATAACATTGAGTCTTGATTCTGTCCTTCATTGTGAATGCTTCAAAGTCTCTGACTCTGTTTGATGTTAAACGTTTAATTCTCAAAAATTTTAGTGCATGTAGACTCTGTGAACTATGGGCAATCAAATGGATATCCCTGTTTGAGTTTTATAATTTCATCTCTTCCATCATCTTTTTTACTTCTAGAGAGCATGTATTTACTCATTGCTTATTTATTTCTTTCCCATTTCTTTTGGTTCAGTTTGTTTGCAGTGCAAATGAAATTTGAATTGGTCTAAATGCATAGAAATGCAAATGAGCCAAGTGTAAATTCTGGTTTACTTTTGTTTCAGGTTTGACCTTGCTTTTTTGTAATGGAACTAGAATGATACGGTCCCCACTTTATATGAAAGAAAATGGGAAGTAAATTCATGTGCCCTTACTTTATGTGAGAAAGAGAGAGAAGGTAGGAGGAAGCTGGTATAAATTTTGCATCAGTTTTCAGGATGCAAAGTTCATACTGCCAAGGAGTATAGATTTAGAAAAAAGTGCAACTTTTGCATCAAGTAGGAGAGCAAATCATGGTTACAAACAAACCAGGTGCAAAACTTGCATCCATGTCAAATTTGCATTGCAAACAAACCGAGCCTTTAGTTTCTTTTCTAAAGGTTAAGGCTCCTAGAAGAAATGAAGGTTGCACTATTATTTTCTTTCCATAGTTGGGTTTTGCTTAAGGTTAAGGCTTGTTGACTTAGAACAAGTGACCGAGTTCATATTATATCTAATAAATTTTTTTTGATAATGTACTTCATTCAAGAAAAGCTCAGAAACTATACTGTCCAAAGGTAGACAGCACGGACAATACAAAGACAGCTTTCAGCTAACAGTGCTCAAAACAATGTGTCTATGATACACAGTTTACAATTTATTCCCAGGTCTCAGCATAGTAGCATACCCCCATAAACAGTCTTGCCTTGTTAACCCAGCTTTTGCTAGATTGTCAGCCACCACATTCGCAGACCTAGAATCCACCTGAATGAGCAGTTCAGGTTTCTTCCTAAGGCCTTAGCTTCTCTCAAAAGAAAAGCAAACATCCAAAGAGGCTTCCCAACTGATATTAATCATGTGATAACTATTTGGCAATCTCTTTCAACAACCATGCTTTTCCAGTTCTGCCGAGCTATCAATTTTAGGCCTTGGATTACAGCCACCATTTCAGCTCTCATAGAATTTCCAAATACCGGTTCTGAAAATCTAAGCAGGATTCTACCTCCTTCATCCTCTACCCACTTCATATTCACATAGATTGCCAAGACTGTGACCATCAAAATTTAGCCCTGTTGGATGTACCAGCCAGAATATACTATCCTCTCAATTGGTCATGCACTGTGACACCTTTAAATTTCTCAATCCTTACATACCAACACCCAATGGGCTGTTCTCACTTTGGCCAGATCAATTAAGAACTCCACACAGTGTCATTTCTTTTCAAATACTCTAGCATTTCTTTTCTCCACAAGTTCTCCATAAAATACCAGCCCATGTGCTTTGTCACAACAATTTCATTTTTATTTGACAAAATGTTGCATTTTGCATCCATAATGTTTTGTGGAGCTGTCCATGACTTCCCAAAAAGAGAGGGGAAATGCGATTTCTCACTTGAGACATATAATGACAAACCAATAAAAGGTGATTTTTGCTTTCTCTACTTTTGAGACAAAGAATGCATCATCATCATCATCCAAACCTTATCCCAAGTATATGGGGTCAGCTATATTAATCCTGTTTCGCCAGTCTGTTCTATTTAATGCCACATCCATTGTTAAATTATGGGCACTTAAATAATTTCTAACTACTTCAACCCATGTCCTTTTTGGTCTACCCCAAGCCCTTCTAGCCCTTTCAACTTGCAACAAATTGCTTCTGATGGGTTCTGTTGGTGGTTTTCTATGCACATGACTAAAACATCTTATTATACTTTATCTCATTTGATCACCTATTGGAGCTACTCCTAGGTTTCCATTTCCTTTAAGTCTATCACAAGGGTTGATGTTTTGAAGGGTAGAGTAGGAATCTGCTGAATTAAAAAAAATATATATGAAAGAAAGTAGTTTCTTGAAGAGAGAAGGAGGAGAGGAGGAGAAGAAGAGAAGAAGAGAATTTGAAAAGAAAAGAGAGCAATAATCTGGCCGCCCCCTTCACTTATTATTTATACTAAAATAATAGAACAGTACAAAGACAATTATGCTCTTATAGGGCGGCAAAACATAAAACAACATATATAACACTCAAAAAACATAATAAAATTTGGACTCACATAACTATTGTGGTCCCCACCTCCTATCTAACAACTAACATAAAACATCTACTTAGAAAAACATCATACAACTAATTAATCTTCAACACTCCCCCTCAAGTTGGGAGTAAATGTCACACATTCCCAACTTGCGTAGATCATGTTCAAGCTTGTTCCTTGCCACCCCTTTAGTGAGAACATCAACCAGTTGCAACTCTGAAGAGATATAAGGCAAACAAACTTCTCCGGTTGTTACCCTTTCTCTTATAAAGTGTCTATCAACTTAAATGTGTTTTGTCCTATCATGTTGAATTGGAATGTGGGTAATATTGATTGCAGCCTGATTGTCACAGTATAACATCATAGGTTCCTTTGCTTTCACTCCAATCTCACTCAAAAGAGATCCAACCCAAAGAAGTTCTGAGACACCATGAGCCATGGATCTATACTCAGCCTCTGCACTTGACCTTGCTTCTTACTCTTCCAAGAGATCAAGTTTCCACCTACAAAGGTACACACTCCTGATGTAGACCTCCTGTCATTTAAGCATCTTGCCCAGTCTGCATCTGTATAGGATTCTAGCTTTAGATTCTCATGATTTGAGAAAAGAATGCCTCTGCTAGGGTGCTTTTTCAAATATGCAAGTATTCTCTCAATAGCTTCCTAGTGCTGAACCCGAGGTGCATGCATGTACTGACTCACAACACTGACAACATAGGAAATATCTGGTCGTGTCATACACAAATACAGGTGTCGGCCCACCATTCTTTGATATCTCCCCACATCTTTTACCAATTCACCATCCACACCATTAATTATGTGATTTGGATCAATAGGAGTGTCTGCTGGTTTGGTCCCCAACTTCCTAGTCTCTTGCAGAAGGTCAAGTACATACTTTCTTTGTGAAATGAAGATCCCATGCTTGGATCTTGCAACTTCAATCCCTAAGAAGTATTTGAACTCACCAAGATCTTTGATCTCAAATTCTTGCTGCAATGATTTTTTGAGATCATCAATCTCCTCCAGATCATTTCTTGTCACCACTAT